TATATATATATATAAATATAATCATATATTTCTACCAAGAAAAGAATTCCAACTGTTATGCTGTTGTCAAATGATTTTATGTAAAGTGACAGCAAATACAAGTTTAAAATATGCAAAAATATTTGTTAATTTTGTATAATTTTAATTGTTAATTTGGTTCTTCTTTTCTTTTTTTTGAGAAAAGAGAAAAAAGTGGAATGAGATATAAACTTTTGAATCACTTATGCGTAAAGGTTTGTAAATCATTCTTGAAAAATAAATATTTTTATTAATATGATGAAAAATTCTCGTTGAGCAAGTTGGAATCACTGCACTGCATTTAATTTAAGTACAACATAATCCATTTCCTGAATGATATTTATTTTAACCGTTTACTTCCAGCAAATTTTCGTAATTCATCAAAATTCAAGTAGCACTTTTCTGATAAATTATTATCTTAATAAAAATACAATAAAAGACGCCAAGTCTAAACCATATATAGAACACACTTCGCCATTTGGCATCATTGCTAAATGCCTATTTTCAAGAATGATAGCAACCTAAAGAAATCTTTTGTGTGGAAACAAGATTTTCAAGTATCACATATAATTTTTTCCGATTTATTTATTTATTTATTTATTTTTGGTTCTTTTATTTATTTTTTATGCATTTTCCTATCTTTCCTTTCCCTTAAAATAAAACAGAAAAAAGTGATTTCATTTTTTTTTCTATTTAAAAAATATAATCTTTCATTATTTTTAAAAATTTTAATTTCAATTTCGACATTTACTGATTTTATCAAACCTGATACTATAGTTCTCCTTAACTAAAAATAATTATAATTTAAAATAGTTTCCATTTCTAACGATATCAGTTTGGAATAAGTTTGAATATTGAGATAGCTATATTTTGAATCACAAAGCATACTTCCGCAAACATAAATTTCAACTGCTCTAGAATAACTCGTTCCTTAAATCGATCTTTTGATTCAAAAGTTTCGATCGATTTTCTACTTTTCAAAAGGAGATCACACTGAGTTACTACACATATTCAACTACGGATCTATAAAATTGAATATTGTGTCACAGCTGAAATTCTGTTGAACTTCTATTTCACATATTTTTATCATTCCAAGCATTTTATTGATAACGCGTCAATCAAACTGGGTCATAAAAACATACTTATTATTTAGTTCGTTGATGCTTCATATTTTTGAAATTTTCTGAATGCATAGGACACAGAAGTGGTGGCTGAGATAGTTTAATATTTAAAAAAAAATCTTTAAAATTATTACCAAGTCTTTTGAAATGCAAAAATATGTACTACGATGCGATACAGGAATTCCCCCTGATCCTCTAAAGTATCTACAAATTTTTTATATTTAAGATGAGCGTATGGAGATGTGACTGTTGCTCATTATAACGAAGTAAAATTCTTATATTTAAATTCATAAATGATTAAGAATTACACATATGAAAAAATGAAAATTTAATCTTATTAATAGAAAGAGTAAAGGTCTAAGTTCTGGATTGAAATTATTTTAACCAAAATGGTTACTTAAAATCTTTTCGATACTATTGTGAACAATAACATCAAGTTTCCCACAGATAACAATTCAGCAATTTATCTTATTTTTTTAAAGTTCGAATATTTTGAGAGATCTATTGGGGGTTGTAATATTACACAACTTTAGTTTAGGAAAGTTTTGTTGAAATCAAAGTATTTGCATGTCCTAAAGTCTAGTTATTTTTCTATCTTTTATAATGTTTGTCACTTTATTAAAACTGTATATATCTTTTAACTATAACCTTGTTATAAAATGTAAAGATGAATATACTTCTAACAAATGTTTATAATCAATCCAAAGGTTTTGTATGTAAATAATGTTCGAGTCTAGAATCTACACATTTAAAAAATACACAGCATAACTTTAACCTATTTTATACTAGTTTCACACATGAAATAATGCTTTTTATAGTGAAAGCAAATATCTTATTGTATGATTCTTTGTTTTGTAAGTTTGATTTATAGTTTTCTTCCACACCATTAAAAGTAAATGATTCAAAAATTTATATAGAAAGTTACTTTGCTTAAATTCATTATTGGTGCAGATTTTTTAAATGTTGGCAAAATTAACCGAAATACAGGAAGTTTTAATTTTTATTGTCTACCACTCTGTAAAATGTTTAGCAAATAACGTAGTAGTCGGCAGTCCAAGAATAGTTGGGCAGATTTGTTGCCCCCTCTTTTAAGGGGACCATATTAGGAGAGCCACCGTTGTTTCCACAGTAAGGACAGATAGTACAGAGACTGAAAAATACCCGCGCCTTGTCCAGAATTTGAACCTAGGACCTTTCTGATGCAAGGTCAGCTCCCTAACCACTACACAATCTGGTCGGAAAAACATACTCTATTTGAAGTATAATTATTTCTGTCGAGTAAATTAAAAAAAACACTCTGACAAAGTTGAAATCTTATACTCCAATAACTGAGTTCTCATAATAATTTTTAAGCTGATTTCTGCAAGAGTACTAATGGATTGCTTTTCTTTTTCAGGTTTGAAATCCATCAACTTTCTTCTGTTAGCAACAGTTGTGCAACCACCATTTTATCAACCTACATGAAAGATAAAAACAGTGCAAGCCGCTTGATCGAAGACAGCACTGCCGTGAGATTGCGGGTGACGGCAGTTATTGAAGCGTAGATTTACTTATAAGATGCATGAAGTCCAGAACCCCGTGATTGTCAACATATTATTTCTTATCCTCTTTGGAATAACCATCTCGCAAATTGATTCTCTCAAAGATGCATGTTTAAGTGAATGCAATTGCAAGTGGAAAAATGGAAAACAAACGGTAGAGTGTATTGGTGTCAACTTAGTAGGAATTCCAGATGGACTAAGTAGTGAGACTCAAGTTTTAGACCTTACTGGTAATCTGCTTCAACTACTTCCTAGTCGAGCTTTTTATAGAGTCAGTTTAGTTAACTTACAGAAAGTGTTTGCACCAAGATGCGGACTATTGAGCATTGCTGATGATGCTTTCTATCAACTAAGTAACTTGATTGAGTTAGATATAAGCAACAATTTTCTTACGTGGATTCCAAGTGTTGCGCTAAGAGATACTCCGTTGCTAAGACGTTTACTATTAAGTTTTAATCCGATCCAAAGAGTTGAAAACGACTCGTTTTCGTTACAGTCACATCTGACTGTACTAGAACTAAGTAGCTGTCAAATAGAAGCAATTGAGCCTCGAGCATTTGACGGGCTAAAGAGCTTGGAATACCTCAAACTGGATGGAAACAAGCTAAGGACGTTACCGCCGGAAATGGTTAAACCATTTTCTACGTTGTATGCATTGGAACTGCATCAGAATCCCTGGCAATGTGATTGTCATATAAGAAGCGTCCGAAAATGGATGCTAAGACACAACATACCAATTAGCAGTCCTCCACAATGCTTTGAACCACCAAGGTTGCGCGAGTTTACATGGGATACAGTAAGTATTGATGAGTTTGCTTGTAAGCCTGAAGTAACCGTAGTTGAATCTTCTGTGACATACATAGAAGGGGATAATGCAACTCTTGGTTGCCGTGTGCAGGCAGTTCCAGAAGGAACTGTAAACTGGATTTGGAGGGGAAGGGTAATTAGCAACCTTACACTTATGTCGTTCGGACGACAAATGTATTTAATTAGAGAAGTGGGAACAACACTCAAAGTTAACTCATTGACAATATTTAATGTGATGCTCAAAGACAGTGGTAGGTATCTTTGTGTTGCGTCTAACCCTGCTGGAAGAATATCTGCAAACATTACTCTTAACGTTGTACCAAGAGACACCAATTCTGACAATCTGAGTGGTGAAGAAATAGCTGGAATTGTTATTGGTGTACTTTTCGTGATATTTGCACTGTTCTTTGTTTTTAGTTTTTTCATGATGAGACATCAAAGATTGTTTCAAAATAGGAACAAAAGTAACAGTTTTCCTTTCTACAAAAACTTTTTCTCATTTAACAACAATCACGTTGGTGTTGTGGTGAAAAATTCAACGGGTGTTGATTTAAGTATGAATGCAAACGGTAGTAATTTGGTAGATGGTAAATGCAACGCCTCACCTCTTTCTCCTTGTAGTGGATCAGAAGCAAGTGTTTATAGTGGAAATAAAGTAAATAATTTACCATTTGAACAGTATAGTGTGCATGAGAGTAACAGCCCTAACACACAACCATCACCTAATTCTGAAAAATGGTATCCTTCTACCCTAAACAGACATTCTATTAGGGAAACGGAAACAGGTATAGAAATGTGTGTGATATCAAAAAACGAAAATGTAAATCCTGATGATAAATCTTTTAAACCAAATATAGATAGTTTAGAAACTGCTGAGCGAACGGAATATAGACGCCCGATAACAACTGACGAGAAAGATGATGATTTAGAAAGCGCGGGACCAATGATGTATGATATCCAGCAGCCTATAAACGATTATTATATGGATCATGACTTACCATCTCACAAATGCTCTATTTGGCCATTATCTGAAGGTTCCTTTAAAGACGAAAGCTACCATAGTTATAATAGTCCTTCCCAGTCTAGCTGGAAGAGAAGTTCTGTAATTATCCCTCAACAAATACATCATATATTTTCACCTGATGCTAGAGATTCACCTGATGAAGGTTTGGGAGATGAAAGAGAATATGAAACAGATATACTTGATTGAAAAAGGGTGAAAGAATCCTTACATTAAATTTAAGGTATTTTTTGAGGTTTACGCGAGGTTGTTTTGAGGTGTCAAAGTTGATTTAATATTTATTCGAAATTGATTTTAGAGACAACCTTAAAAGATCAACCTCCCAAGGTTTGTTGTCAGGGTGGATGAAGTCGTTTTATTAACACATGAGGTTGATTTGAGGTTAAATGAAATCTGCTTTATAGCAACCAAATTAGGGAGGTTGTTTTTGAGTTTTGAGGTGCATGAATTATTTTATCTGCATTTCAAGGAAATACCTATATATGATGTGTGAATAATTTCACCCAATCTAAACTGAGGATGAAATTGAGGTTTATTAATGAGGCTATTTTTGGTGCAAAACCTAACCTAATTTTCTACCTCATTTGTATTTTTTACATCTGTCAAACTCAAAATAACCTCAAAAACACCTTATCTTTCGTAAGTGATAAAGAGATAGTTTAAAGCGTTGATGGAATGAATGGTTTAGTATTTTTCTCGCGCACAAGTTTATCATGAACTGGAGAAACTAAATCAATTTATACAAACAATTTTAATTTTAAACAAATATTGCTTTTCTAAAAGAGACATTTTGAGCAATGTTATATTTATTTTCCTTAAAGTTGTAAAAAAATATATTTTAAAACATTTAATTTTAAGAACAACTCGATCCATTTTCAGAAATTTTGCAGAATTGATATTTAAGATATTTTGCAATGACATTGAAATCCAAGTCAAAAATAAAATGCCAATGTTTGTGTAAGAAAAAATACCAAAACATTATTGATACTTGGCAAATTATTTTGGAGGAAGAAGAGATTAAAATCTAAACTAGATCAAAGACTGTAAAATTGTTAGTAGGAAAAAAAATAAATGCTGAATTTATTTTTAGAAACGCCTTCTTGTTTTAGAAACGCCTTTAAGTCAGTTATGGATCAAAAAGTTTTATTATGTGTTATTCAGTAGTTCTCTTTATTCATAACGTTGTTATTTTTTCTTAGCATAAATATTAATTTTTGATCTGTAATAACTACGATATTGACTTTTTGTTCTCAGTAAGCTAACACATCACAAAAAGAGAGATAAAAGCTGTTTTTGACAAGAAATACCCTAAGTGCTTGTAAAAATTGCCATATATGTAACCCCATCTTTCTTGCCAACGGCAAAGGGGAAATTTCACTCACTTTTACTTGTGCGCATGACTTTCCTGGCTGAATTGCTCAAAAGTAACACAAGAACTAATCCAAAAATTAAAAATGAATGTATGTATAGAACAAACACTTAGTTTTATAAAATTTCCTTGGATAAAAATTATTAACTATTTTACCCAATTTTTTGTTCAAAATTAAGCGACAATTACGCGGTTAAAGAAGATTGAGGTAAGCTCACTTTGAAAATATAGTTTGGATCGATTTGTTTTTACTTAAAAAAAAGTCAAACTGAAGGTTTATTTAACAGTTTAGACAGTAAATACATCAAATTTGAAAGGTTTATGGTATGTTATAGAAGTGTTTAAACTAAATATATTGAGAGGAATTATAAGAAACGGTATGCATCGAGATTATAAAAATAAGGTGATAAAAGATTTGTCATTAAAATTTGAGATATAAAGAAAAGTTACAAATATATATCTATAAATAAAGTTGGTTGTTACTGTACAGAACTTCGTTATTGAACTCAAAAATGAATTTTTAATAAATAAAGGTATATATATCTTGAATTGCTGTATTGTAACGCGCGAGCTTTTTTAATGTATCATATGTGTCTTCCTATTGCAAAATAAACTACTGAAAATTACATTTAATTTTAATGAATTGTGCACAAAAATTTCGAACTGAAATGCTATATAAGCTATGGAGAGAGGTTATACTAATAGAATAACACTGGCAGCTATTTACCATAGCCTCCTTATAAGTATAATTAGAATTTTGGAAATGAAAAGATGATTTAAGTAAATAATTAAATAATACAAACGTATTTTTTGTTTATTTCAGAAATTAGCAAAGATAAAATCGATAATTTTAGGAGAAGGTGTGTAATTGGAGTATATTACTTATTATTATAATATTCTAAGCTTACAAAACAATTTACTTGATCTACGGTGCTCGCCAAACTGTATCTTGTTCTCGGCTTTTTCTGAAATCATATTAAACAATTGCATAATTTGATGACAAATATAGCGTACAAAACTACAATTATTGTACCGTATTTCCTTTATATATTAATATCTGCGTTTGCAATTAAAATATTATTTAAAATATGACGATTATGATAAATCTGGTAAAAATAGTTATTTTGTTTTACAATAAAGAGTATCGAGATAAATGAAAAGTCTATGTCAGAAATCTTTTAATGAGAAAGATTTTTTTCTTAAATTGGAAGGTAAAGTAGTAAGCTTTCAAATTAGAAACCTTTCAATGCGTTCCTTAAGTAATTTTACAAATAGTTTTTTTAGTTTTCTCAGAATGCTGCTTTGAGAAAGAAAATCGGCAAGAAATCCATACATGTAAGCTTAAATAAAATTAAAAAAATCAAATTATACTGGAACTGTTAAAATCCCGAACTAAAGTTAAATCCCCAACTTAAAATTACCAAATTTTATCACTTCCACAATCAAACACCCGGTATAAGATAAAAAAATAATAAAAATAAAATCGCGAGAAAACACGGCGAATTTCACATATCCTAGTAGTTTTTACCTTACTGTTTTTTTTTTCATTCAGTTTGATTAACTTAAATTCACGTCAATAACTTAATTTTAATTAAACTTCCGTAAAATAATCTATGGCTATAACAAGAGGCTTTAGTTCTATGTTTAAGTAATAAATGCAGGGCTTCACTAGCGAGAAAAATGTGGTTATTCGCTACTAAAACCAAAGGCAGGCAACTAAGGTTATTTTTTTCGCATAAGCAACTAAAAAGCAACAGCTTTCAGAAAAGAAACATAATAAATTAATAGATGACTACTTGAGAAAAAAGTGTTTCGTATGAAAACTAATTATTAGAATTCGTATTACCATATTGGAATTTAAAAATCAAAAGTCAAAAATGGTCAAAAAGTGATAAATAACGCGAAAACTTTATAGGAAAACAACGTGAATTTTCAACGCAATAATCGCTATCCGAGTGTGTCAAAAATAAAAACCCGTATTCAAAACCACTCCGAGTGGTTTGAGTGGTCCGATTACTACGAGTGACTCGTAGTAATAATATCCTAAACAAATTATCAAAATTTGAAACAAATAACAAGTGTAAATTGCTTTAATATGATAAATACAGGGTGAATAAATTAACAGAAAAAATAATGAATAGTTGTGACGCAATACTTATAAGGCATAATGCATCAGAAAGTGATTACTCTAATTCAAATTTTAAGTGCCCTTATATGAGATTAAAAATACCGAAATTTGGAGAACCAATGCTGAAATGATTGAAAAACGATAAATAACTATCAAAAAGTAACGTAGTTTAAAATAGATTGTCGCAAATTAAACACAAAATATATTCAAAATTCGTGTGTTGTTATAACACCAGTTAAGAAAAAATATTACATCACCTTCTCCTTTTAATTTTTACTTTAAAATGATAACTAAGAGTTTATTTAAATTTCAAGATTGTTTTTAAAAGTAAAAAAAAATTAATCTTGGTACATTAAAGCTGACATAGAAAGCGCATTGAAGAATTCTTTTTTATTGATGAAATGCATTGAACTCATTTATAAAAATTTCACTCCGTTATTCAACATTGTAAAATGCTTTTAAATGTTCACTTTGCTCATAATAAAATTGTAATAGAAAACCAGAATCGTAAATTAGATTTATTTTTTTTAAATTTAATAATTAGAAAAATTAAAATTATAAATAGGAAGATTGTTACTTTTATACTCTATATTGTTGTTTGCATGGTTTTGTGACAGCTAATTATTTTAATTGTGATTAAAAACACATATTTTGAGTCATATAATTTGTATATTGCACACAAGAGTTTATCTTGATAATCTAAGATCAAGGCTAAATGTCAACTTGTAAGGCACAAGTATATGCTAATTATGTAAAATATAAATATAAGTGTATATGAAGATCATTTTCTTTTTCCCATTGAATGACTTTTTTTAAGGTAACTGGACACAATACATTGTGTTCAAAATACACAAACAGACTTAAATTATTTGTTTTCTGAAATAATACAACTTGACCTCCCAGAAGAAGAGTTGTTGTAAATGCGTTGTCGTTAAATAAAAAAATAAAGAAAAATAGTTGTATAAATTGTTGTTTATTCCTTTTTCATTTGTACTTATTAAATAAATGAACACAATGCATAGGGGACAGTGGGGTCAATTGTAACAGGGTACAATTGTAACAGAGCAAAAATTTCGAGTGTCTAGTTCTAGATTTGGATCCTTGATGGCGTGCAAGGTGTATTTAATAAATCTACATGTACACCCCTGCTGGCAACCAATTTTATGTACTTTTGTAAGAGTTACATCCCAAAAGTAATTTTGTTTAAACAAATAAAAATTATTAACCGAATATGTAAGTGGACACCTTAATTAACATTTAAAAAAAATAGTTTTGTTAATTAACTAGCATTGTTTTTAACAAATGAAGCTGAAATGGAGTCTTGAGGACAATTGTAACAATAAGTAAAGGGATGATTGTAACAGCTGAAAGTAAATAATCTTATGTTTACAAACCATTACTTAACTCATTAAGTGTCACTTTCACAAGATAAATTAAAATTTTTAACCCCTTAAAGTTTAAAGTTTAACGCTTTGGTCTCAGATCATTATTATTTTTACTCCTAAAATATCACTACTATTTTGATCAATAAAAAAATATATCACAACTATGATAATATATATAATTAACTATGTTTTAGTTGAATTTATGAACTGTTACATTGACCACGTAAGTGGGGACAATTGTAACAAGTGCACGACTGTCAAAAATTGTTAATAACTAATATAATAGCATTCAAAATAAAGTTATTATTTTTTTTTCTAGTAGAGGATAGTCTACTTTACTCGTCTGTCAATTAATACTAATAATATATTGGATTTTTTGTTAGTTAAAAGTAGTTAAGTAAAAAATTTTACAATTGAACCCACTCTCCTTTACCCTTACATTTTACTACAGATCATTCGTAATGCAATACTTTAAACATAAACCATATTTCAACTGGTTTTTAATTTACCCAGAAAAAAAATGGAAATAAATCAATTTCCTTTCTTATTTGTTTTAGGAAAGATTATCCGAACAAATTATATTCATCCATAAAATAACCAAACAAATAATGTCCATATTAAATTAAAAACGAATTAGAAACAGTTATAACACACATTAACATCTTAAAAATTGTTATTTAGGAATAAATATTTTTAAAAAAAATAAGGTAGTCAATGTAAATGACCAATATTTACCTTTACCGAAAAAATTTTAATCAAATATTTCTTCATATAGTTTTTTTTTTTTTTTGGATCAGTAACAGTGATGTATCATAAGAGTTACGTATCATGTTTTAACTGAGACGTGCAAAAAATAAATGTATTTACACAGAATACGAATCAGGATTAAAGAAAATGTTGCTTCGAAAGAAATTCGGATTAGCCAAGTTAACAAGCCATCAGCCTTGTGAATTAAGTCAGGAATGTGCGCCTTTCATTTGATAAGAGAGCACCGCAAGAATGAAAGTATATCTTGGCTCAGAACCTCACGAATAGGTGGCAGCACCACTCATTTGTGAGGCCACTCAATTTAGACATAGATCTAGCGGAGTAAGAAATTTTCTTATAATCTCTGCACCGATGGTAGTGCTCAGCAACCGATCATAAGACTTTCGATTCCACAGATTTCACGAACACGTATATCGCATGCACTTATTGAGTCTTAACGGAGCCTAGGCTTAAATCCCGGTCCCTCCGGATTGGAGTGCTATACTCTATCAACTGGGCTACCACAGCCTTTGAAAAAAATAAAAAAGCGTTAGCTTAAATGCGAACATGGCTTGTTTGACAGATATATTTTTGCTTTCAATTTAATACTTACATATTCAATCAATGTCATTTCAAAGTGTAACTAAATAATTTCTATTTAGAAATAAGCATCTGTGAATGAAATAAATTAAATTATTTTCCCGCCCACAATTAAACTACTGAAGTAATAGTTTGGTCAACAGTTTTATCTTATTTACCCAGATTGTCGCACCTTAGAATGCGTATGTGACTCGCCTCTCAAAGTAGTCCGTGGGCCAAACTCATTTATCGTTCAAGTTCGTTCCGATACTTTGGGGGCAATTTTTTATTTTGACAAAACGATTCAGAATGTTTTAGTATTTTTAATTTTATAAAGTTCCCCAAATATTATTTCGTCATAATTTAATAACAATCGATTTTATGACGCACTCTTTTTCTGTATGCTTTCGTACTCTCATCCAGTGAAATCGTCGAATTATTTTTTCCTCCGCCAAGCTAACCAATCACGCATTGTCTCCTCACAGTCGCTTACAGCAATGTTTGTAAGCAAATCGTTGGTTGCATTGATGATAATTTTCTCGATTTCATTTTAATCCTTTGAATTTTTTTTAAAATTTAAATAAAGGTCTCTTTTTAGAGCCAACTATATATTGATAACGCTTCATTTTCCCGCTTTACTGTTAAATATTTGATTTTCATTCCGAAATTCGAATTGTGCAGGCGGTCGCATTGCAATGCCTCTCTGACCTAATCAAAAATTCGTCTCCGATTTTAAGATACAAAAATATATACTTTGCTTAAAAATGAGAAGGAATTATTTGTCCTATTTTAATTTTAATAATATTTGCTGAGTTACAAATTTAAAGGGGATATTTATATATAGATCCCACCGAAGAAATGAAAGTATTGTAGTTATGTTGATGAAATGTTAAAAAAAATTTTTTTTAAACAATTTTCATTACTTTATGAAGATAAAATATTAGTTCCAAAATGTTTAAAAAATCTACATATTAACGTTAATGATCCATTATTCTTAAAAAAAATATTATTTTTGTTTCACTAACAAAGGTGCTATGGTAAGTATTGTTTCAAAAGATGGTTGTTTTGATGGCTTATTTATCCAATATCTGTGATATTAAACATTTTTGTAGAGTCAAGCGCACATCTTATATTGCTTGCATTTTAATTTTACTTAAATATTACTTCTTTTTAAACTCTGAATGGCGTATAAATTTAAAATTTTTTATTAAGATGTGCTTACTCGGAAAAAAGAAAACAAAACTTTTTATGTTTTTATTTTTTTTTTTTGCTCTTACAAAAAAGCTATAAAAAATACTCCTCTTAAATAAATACTACTCTTAAGCTATAAAAAAACTGTTAACTAATCTAAACTAAAAATAAATCATGAAATTTAAGGAAATTTATGTATGTTTTCTCTGTAGGGTCAGCAACAAGAAATTTGACAATTTTGTATTTAATCATTGAATTTTTTTTTTGAATTGAATTTGAAAACAATAGTGTAGATTCAAAACATGATTTAAACATTTAACTTCAGATATTGGTTTAAAAAATGTGTTTAATCAATTTTCCAACTGGCACTATTTCGAAAAATAGTTAAAGAATGTCTCTACACTTAAATGTAAATAAATTATTGAATATCAAACCATAATGAAATTTCCAAAT